TGGCAAGCACAAGGTTGTGAGTTTAATTCCTGTACAAAAAAAAAAAAAAATCGACACAATTTGCCATTAGTCCCCCTCAAAATACTCTCCCTTACTTACAACACAATTATTCCATGGTTTATGCCACTTTTGGATTGAGTTCTAGAAATCCTCTCTCATGAGCACCTTTACTTGGGCTGTGATGGCTGCCTTAATGTCCTGAGTTGATTCTTTACCTTCACAGGCACTTAGACTTTGGGAAGAGCCAGAAGTCGTATAGCTCCACATCTGGTAAATAAAGTAAATGAGGACACACTGTAATGTTTTTATGTGACAGAAATTACCATGTACATAAACTGTAAACTGGCTCAAAAAGTGGCATGACTGATGAGATAAATGTGTTTGAAATGAGGTAGAGATTTCAAGGAGGATTCGTATGTCTTTTATAGTAATAAAATTTTACATTTAAAGGTTCATTGTATTTTTTTAGCTATACTTCATACATTATGAACTCATGTCTACCTTACCATTGGACGGAGACATCAGTTTGACTCTGTGTGTGTGTGTGTGTGTGTGTGTGTGTGTGTGTTGTGATGAATTGAACTCAGGGTCTTTGCACTGAGCTACATCCCCAGCCTTTTGTTTCTTTTGAGATGGAGTCATGCTAATTTGCCCAGGTTGGGATAGAACTTGCAATCCTCCTGCCTCAGCCTCTTGGAGTGTTAGAATTACAGGGATGCCCCACTGTGCTTGTCGGCTGATTTCTTTACACTCAATTGTTCTCTGATTGAATTGGACCCAATTACCACTTTCTGTGATTTTTTAAAAGATCTAATAGCAGCCTAGATATTGAAAAGATCCATGGCCTTTTCCTCATAAAATCTGATTCTTGCTCTCTTTGGAGGAAAGAACACTCATTCATTCATTCATTCATTCATTCATTCATTCATTCATTCATTTGTTCACTCACTCATGTGTACTAGGCATCTGCCATGTGCCAAACAGAGTGCTAGCATTGTGGGGAAGGTGGGAAATGAACACAATGATGAGCTTTAGGAGTTTACAGTCTAGTGGCAGAGATAGATGAGAAGCAGACCAGTACTTGATGTGTGACAAGTGACATAAAAGCAAAGGAACAATAGAAGCCAGAGAAGCAGCCTGGGCCAGCATGAGGTGAAGAGAGCTGCACAGGGAGACGCCTGCCCCCTGCCCAGAAAGCCAGGGTAAAGGTCTGAGATCCAACCGCAAAATGGGAACGACAGGGCGCTTGAGCATTCTGCAGCGTGGATCTGAGGACTTGACACTGATTTCAATCCTGGGTGTGTATGGTCTGGAGCTCCCACTGGGAATGGTTACAGTGAGCACCAAGAGGCCCTGAGCCTGGTACAGAGTGACCTGGAGGGAAGGACAAGCTGCTGTTCATACCCAGGATATCCTGATGACCCCTGCGAGGTCTTCTAGGAGTATCCCAGGAAATGGTTTTGGGGACACCCTGCTGGGATGACACTTGAGACTTCTGATTCTAGTTCAGACTCTAAGGTAGCAATGCTGGTCCAAGTACTTTTTGTTTCAATGTAGTGATCAGAGGAATATTTTATCACTGACATTGTTTAGAACTGTTAAACCAGGGTAGTAATAAAAAGGATACAAATTTAGTGGCTTTTACTACCACTTTAAAATTCTCTGCAGAAAATGCCCCCTTCATTGCCTATAGCCAGGCTTAACATACCACCTGGTGTGTTAGTTCCTTTCTCCTCATTGCAAGGACACAATGTCCCACCCCCACAACATACAGGGGGAGGCTTACTTAGGGTTTGCTTTCAGTCAGTGGTTAGTTGGATCCAAGGTGAGAAGTCCTAACAGAAGCATCTGGCAGACAGAAGCTGCTCCTCTCAGAGAGCCCAGGAAGCAGAGTGCAGCAAAGGGCCACTGAGGAGGGGTGCCCACCTTGCCAGGCCATAGCCCCATCTCCTCTTCAAGCCAGAACCCACCTCCCAACAGCAAGTCAGCTGTGGACTCACCAGTGGACTAATGCACCAGTGAGGGCAGCACCCTCAGAACCTGAGCACCTTCAGTAAGCCACCCTCTGAGTGCAGGAGGCGAAAGGGGCATGCTTCATGCAAACCATGCTGCTTGTATACACCTTCTTCTGAGGAATTGATCATGGGAAATTTTTATTTCAGCCATGAAGGTAGTTCAAACTTTAGAGCCTTTACAGAGTGATAAGTTTTTTTTTTTTAATTTAATTTTTTTTTTTTTTTAATTTTAGGGAAAGGTCTATAGGGTGTGTTCAAGATCTCACTACTATCAGACTTGTAGTGATTCACCAGTTTACAGCCTCCCAAGAGCTGGGATTACAGGTACATGCCACCACACCCAGTTTCAGTGCACTCCGGGGGCAGGGGCAGCATGACAGGCCCTAGGATCAAACCCCTAGCCCCTGTGCTTGCTTGCAGGCACTTTAATCTGCTGAACTATTTGGCTGGCCAAGCCTGAGAAGTTTAGAAAAGGTTTCCTATTTTCTAAAATTTACAAATTCTACTATCTGAGGGTAAGACTATACAATTAAACATAAAGAAAAATGATGAATTCTCAATAAAATCTAGTGAAGCACTCAGTTCTCTTTTCATGAGATGGCATTGAGATGATTTGCAACTTTTGAAAAATACATTATTCATGATAGTTAAAGGCTTTATTGCTAGTACTGGGAGGGATTTGGACCACACAGTCTGGCTGTGAGCAGCAATTTTCAAACTTTCAGTCTTAGGCTCCATTAGCACTCTAACGTTGAGAAACTTGAAAAGCCTACCTTACAAAATTTGGTAAGTTGTCCATATTGGTTCATGTTCCATTAATATCAGAGAAATTACACCATCCCAACTAATGGAGCTTCTGGAAAATTCTACTGCTCCATAAGAGATTGGGAGTAGGAAAGTCAAATATGGTTTTGATATTACACTGAAAATAGGTTTTTTGTTTTTTTTTTTCTTTTTTGGATTCCTTCAGAGAATCATGGCAACTCTCCTCAGGGGTTCCTGGGTCATAATGTGTGAAATGCTGGCATACAGTTTGATAATATGGGCTTTAGACAACTTAAATTCACCATTCATCTGCAACAATTTTCTCTCAGAGTTGCTATCTTCAGCTTTAGTGGGTACAATAATACCCTACTTGTTTATGGTGAGGGAATTGTAGATGCTATTTCAGCTATGCATCTGTATGCTGCAAAGATTAAGGAACTTAGTTCACCAAAAAGATTGCCTTTAATGGTTCACTCTTCTTATCACATCTTGAGATGTTTGGACTGCAGATGTGCCTTGATCCAGAATTTGTAGAGCCTGAGATGTGAGGACTGTTGCGTGCTCCTAGCTAGGGTCATAGCTCTGAACTCCAGCCATGTGCCCCCCTAGAACTCCGTGGATCTGATTATCTTGGTCAATTTGGAGGATAGGTGCTGTAGACCTTTCCGGTCTTCCCTTCACATGTTGTTCTTGCCTATAATATGGCCAAAAGGCTCTGCAGAAGACACCAAACACTGCAGTGTGCAATTCTCTCTGCTCACAACAACAGCGAGAAGCACTCTTCCTTTCTCTATTTTGGCCTCTGGGAGGCTCGCCTGGGAGTCACAGCATTGTTTTCTGATTTTGTGACAGAGCCAGGTTTCACTTCCTTCTGCTCTTCTCAGCTAGGCACTGTGGGCCTCGTCCACCCACGGGATCCTGCTGACAGTATCGGCAGGGTGCTCAACATTTCATGTACTTCACTCCCATTGCGTATGGGAGAAAGGAGGTTTCTTCTTCTTCTTCTTCTTCTTCTTCTTCTTCTTCTTCGTCTTCTTCTTCTTCTTCTTCTTCTTCTTCTTCTTCTTCTTCTTCTTCTTCTTCTTCTTCCTCTTCCTCTTCCTCTTCCTCTTCCTCTTCCTCTTCCTCTTCCTCTTCCTCTTCCTCTTCTTCTTCTTCTTCTTTTTCTTCTTCTTCTTCGTCCTCGTCATCATCCTTGTCGTCGTCGTTGTCGTCATCGTCATAGTCTTCGTCTTCGTCCTCGTCCTTGTCCTCGTTGTCGTCCTTGTCCTCGTCGTCGTCGTCATCGTAGTCTTCGTCTGTGTCTCTCCTCCTCCTCCTCGTCCTCCTCCAATTGTATGTCAGAGAAACCTTCTGTCTCCCCAGTGTCCTATCCCCTGCAAGCCCTTCAATGATGCTTGGCAATTCAATTTTACTTGGTTCTCTATTTTTGAATTCTTTGAGTACCTGTTGGAATTGTCTGGCTTTACCACACCGAGGACTACAGCTTTACTCACAGTTTACCTGATCTACCAGATAGTCTTGCAGGGTTCGACTTGCTCTTTCCCTTGGCCTGGCCATTGTTCATGATGTGGTGAGTGCTAGGTCTGGGGTGAGGATTTGGGTACTGAGATCCAGGCATGGACTGGGTTTTCTCCTCTCCCACCTTCCATATTCTGGACTTTAGATCAGCTGAGTTATCTTGCTGGCTATTGTACCATGTCAGGCTTTATCTTCTACCCTTGCCTAAGAGAAATAGCTGAGCCAGAAGTACTCACTGTCACCAGTGCCCTGTCGATGACCACAGTGTTGTGCATATCTCCTTTCAGGAAAGATGGAGATCACAGGGTCAGGCAAGCCAGATACACTTGTTTGAATGTCTGACCCTACTTCTTCTTGAAGTAGTGCATGCTTAGCTGATCCTGCCTTACTGTCCAATCAGTGTGGCTAGAAAGTGGGCTTATCTTCTTATTCACTGAAAATGCAAGGAGACATGTGACATGAACTCTTTGTTTAAAATAAATAATGATTTCATTCTTGCCTATAATCACAGCCACTCTCTTCTGCAACAGATCTCCAGCTCACTCATCCTGTCCATCTGAAAGTTTCCTCTGCCCAACAAATCTCCCTTTCTTCTTTTCCCTCCTCTAGCTTCCCACAATAGAATAAAATGCAGGAGAGGCAGCTGGACCTTCCTGCCTACTTATTTTTTATCCATGTCTCTGTTGCCCAATATAATACTTACATTGGAACCACTCGGCTCTTTTTCCGTGCTGTAAGGCAGCAATTGCTCAGATTCTGCTTAAATGCTGCAATCCTCCTCTTCACCCTCTTCCAACATGGCATCCTCTTAGAGGAGCTGGGGGGTGTTGGTTCAATGCAAGACTGGCTGGTTGTGCTGGGTTTGGTGGTCTTATAGAGCTTGTGTTTCCTGTCACACTGATTCCCTGGGAGAAGGGAGTCATTGTTGGGGGCAGATCCACCACTGTTCTGGAGGAGAGCTGAGGAGGTAGGATCTGTAGGTTCTGTATCACTCTGATTTTCAGGGAGAAAGAAGTCATTGTTGGGGACAGGGCAAGCACTGCTCTGGAGGGAAACTGAGGTGGTGGGATCCATGTGGTCTTGAAGTAGTGTATCACCCTCCTTGGTGGGTTTCATGCTGATGGTGCGAATACCTGATCCCTGGCTTGCTTGGTGCTCCAAAAGAAGATAGGTGGCCATCCGGTAATCAAATTTTTTTAGCAGGAGGGATTTTTTTATTTTTTCAGGGTTGTGTCCTAAAGCATACATCAACTTTAGGATCTCAGGTTTAGGGCATTCTGGAAGCAGATTAGGAGGCGGACAGGAAGATAGTTCACCCTGGCAGAGCCATGGGTGCTGCAAGATGTCCTCTAGTGTTGGCCACTGCACAGAGTCAATGGTGAGGAGCATACCAATTAGATTTTGCAGATCTGTGGAGAAAGAATGGGGACAGTAGTGCCTGCCCTGCAGGATCATCTGTTTCACATGCAAGGGATGGATCTCCTTGAACGGTGTGAACCCCACCACAATCTCATAGAGGATAATGCCGAGTCTCCAAATGTCCTCAGCAAACAGCTCTCTTTGGCATAGTAGTGGTTCAGGGGCAGTGTCTGGCAGTGTGTTGCAGATCTTGGTCCCCATCCCGAAGTCACAGATTTTAACTGTGCCATCCTCATCTAACAAGATGTTATCCGATTTTAGGTCCCCATGAATGATGCCTTGTTCATGGAGGTATTGGATGGCACAGATGATCTGCCAAAATATTCTTCTGGCTTCCTCCTCTTCTATACCATTGGCATCACGGATGTAAGACATCAGGTCTCCTCCACCTGCATATTCCATCACCATGTACACTTTCTCCTTTGTTTCAATAACCTGTAATAACTGGATGATATTTGGATGTTGCAACGATTTCATGAGGTTGACCTCCAACATGATGTTGTCAGGATTCTCTCCTTTTGGCAGCACTTTGATGGCCACTGTCATTCCAGTGGACAAATGTCTGGCCAGCACTATATCAGCAAAATTGCCCTGGTTGATTCTCCGTAGGATGTGGTAATGATCTTTCAGCCTCTCTGAATAGAAGGAGCTGGCAGGGAAGCCCAACAATGATGATGTTAGTTCACTATGCTCACTCCTAAAAGTAGGCATCATGAACCAAATTTTATAATCACTTTACCAACTAATCATAAAATGAATTGGCTAGGAATCACAGAGGTTATCTCAAGCAAGAGGTCTCTATAGAACCAAAAACACTCATCACAGCTGTGGCCTTATATGTAATGTCTGAAGTGACCTCACAATGGTATGAGACTGCTGATCATGGCTTTACAATGTTCACCTTTCAAGGGACTGCATAGTTGCTCCTTGTGAGGTCAGAGCACAAAATGGCCCAGTTGTGCCTGCCCATAACTCACATGTTTATTTCACTTTTTGATCCATAGGACTTTCTGTGCTTTAATTAAAGAAAAGGATGCAACACTTTTGTTAATGTGGCTTATAGAGATTTACATTTCATTTCTTAGAATTAAAAACCTGTAAGATCTTCAAAGTCTTTTTTGTATCTGGCTTGAGAACATGTAATATCTTCTGTTTGAAAGACCTTATGATATCTATACTCAATATAACCAATTCATTTTTCTTTAAATTCTCACTGATAGGTCTCAAAGGGATGATATAACATCACTGGAATTATAATAACCAAGATGTTCTCTTTATAAGACACAGTAAGGCATAGTAATACAAAACAATCATTGTGTTTATCATAAAAACAACTTGGATGTTGGCCATGTGCAGTGTTGAATGAAAAAACAAAATAAGGTAAAATCACTGTTGATTAAGAATTCTTTATTATCTATTCAGTCAAATGGCCCCTACAAAATGAGGAAGAAAGTAAATCATTCCAACATATAAACATTGAGGTATTTGATTCCCTACCACTAGACGTAGCAGATATAACTCAAAACTCTAAAGAACTAAATAATAAAGATAAATACATGGATGTGAAGGACCACTTGAGCAGCTCTCCTTGAAAGAAGAGCATCTGTCTCCTTTTTGACTGAGTCTAACCCTATTTCCTCATATTGATATGTGCAGAGTTGGCTAGGACTTCTGTTTATCCTTCAATTGGCCTTAAGCAATGTATATTGGTCTAGCTGAGGTGCTGGTGATAGTCTTTGAAGGTGGCATGCGTGTTTCTCTGGTAACCTACACCTGCTGTTCTTTAATGTGAGCCGGGTTGAGACAGGAAGAAGAGCCAACGCTCAGTGCCACCCGCTGGTATAAAGCCTTGAGACAGAAACTATGACTTTCTGGGGCTTGAAAGACTACATCAGAGCTGAAGCACCAGACTCCCCAAAACATTAGATACTATCTCAATAGCATAAATCAGATTACTTTCTCTGCATATCCTCTCTGCATATGGCAGAAGTAATTGTAGGCCACCTGCCTAGCTTAGCACACAGTAGTCACCTACTCCCCACAATTCTCAGTCATTCCTCCTCAAGCCACTCCTCCACTGAATAAAACCGGGTGAGGTCCTGGGTCAGTCTCTTTGTTCCAAAAAGCCATCTTCAGGGCTGGACTTAAGGGCCTTTGGCTCCCCAATAATTATAAATATGTTTTAGTGTCTTTTGCCATAGATTGCCCTGGGAGTGGTAGATTGGAATTAACTTGGGATTCCAATAACGTATCTTTGGGATTACAAATATTAACTTCTTGGACTTAGACAAGAACCAGGAAGGGACTCCTACACATGGATATTTATGAAAGTCAGGACTACTTTTGTTTGCTACATGATGTAATAGATTTATGTATCAAAAGACTAGAACCCAAATATTACTGTATTTTTTGAAACACGCACAGTGTGACCTTCAGGAATGAAACTTTACAAATTCAGTACCCAACAGAGAATGGAAGCTGGAGTGCCATGGAGCAGCATTTTGTATATTTTTAAGTTTAGGTGGCTCTAGTTATAATCAGAACATTGTAACTTGAGAGTTTTCAATGTAATGCCCATGGTATCCTCAAAAGAAATATCTGTAGAATATACACAGAGGAAAAATAAACTTTTCTACCAAAAAATAATTCAAGGGGCCAGGGAGATGGCTCAGTAGAATAAGTGCTTGCCTGGCAAGCACAAGGGCCTGAGTTCAATCCCTGGTTATGAAAAAAAAAATTCAAGAAACCAGGAACTACAAGTGATAAGGTCAGTGGGAGATGACAGGCGAAGGACAGAGGTGAGCACTTCCTTAGCAGTAATTCCTCTCCTGACCAGCAGGTCGCCCAGCTCTCAGAGGACAGATATAGGGAGAAGGGATAGGAAAACATGATCCAATTAAATCCCAAGACCAAAAGTTAGAACAGACAAGGACTGAAAACCCCCCCCCCAATAAAATAGAAGAGAGTGGCTCTACTGCCAGATGAAAGAGATTTTAAATCAAAAGGACTAAAGACCCTCCAGATAAAATAGAAGAGAATGGCTCTACTGCCAGACAAAAGAGATTTTAAATCAAAAGAAGGCTGTGGGAGCACAAAGAGGGACTTGATGTGGACAAAAGCCCAATTAAACAGAAAGATGACAATGAAGAATCAGAACAGTCAAGCATAGAAAATGCTTTATTTGTAGCAATCCTATTCTGAGGATGTCATCCTTTGCTCTAATTTTGAAGATCATTCACTGGAGATTCATCCACATTCTGCCACATGGGGAGCTCTGTGTCGGTTGCTCACCTCAATCTAGGAGGAAATAGTCCCTCTATGAAAGAAGTTCACTGAAGGACAAAGACAATGGCAGGCCTCCCAGATCCTGGGGGAAGATCTGCCCATCCTTGGAGTGTGCAGGAATCAAGATTGGCACATGGACCACCCTCTGCCTGAGCCAACAGTTCAGTTAATTTTCCTATTTTTTGATTAACAGTATCAAATAATGGGACAGGTGCAGGGTCAGGAAACTATAGAGGCTGTCCAGTCCAAACTGCCCATGTTGCCATTTCATACCACAAATTCTCAGCCCCAGAGAGAGAAGTGGCTTCTGCCAAATCCTATAGTATAAGGAGAGACTGGCTTCCAGAGCAGCAGCCATTAGGGGGCCTCCCTATCCCATCTCTTTGTATCAAAGGACCTGCATCTTAAAGTAAATTTGCCAGAACCATGGATACCTCTGCTTGCACAAGTCAGCACTGCTGCATGTAGAATGACATCATGATGCACTGTAGATATTTTGCATGGCTGAAAGTTATATATGATGGGGCTGGACATAGGGATTTAAACAAATAGACATAGACAGAACACTGATGAAATTTAAGGCACTTACACTATTATGTGTGGCATTGTAATGTTAGTCGATGCCTGTCCCCACTTAGAGGCCATAACCATGAGCCAGCCCCAGCATAACCCTGGGCCTGAAGCCATTATGAGGTCAATGGGTCAGTGGGTGCTCACCCATTGTAACACAGGGATGCTGCAGGTAGGCAGGGGTCATGATCCTGCAGAGCAGGGTGGGAACAGGAAGTAAATGGTGGTGACCTATGCTCTATTGACTTGGGTATACCTAAAGTTGCTTGAAATAAACTATTTAAAAATTAGTCTCACTGATGTCAATTTTATAGTGGACAGGTGGCTTGTCACTCCTAGAACTACAGATCTCACATGCCTCAGGTATCTAAGAGTATCCACCTGCCGAGCATCCTTGAACTGAAGCCAGCACAGGATGACCAGGGCCCTTGCTGGGTTCCCTGTGGGGCATAGAAGGAAGGTGTACAATCCACTGCACCTGGCTGCTCTGCATGGCCATGGGACTTAGGTGCTGTTGGAGATGCACCCAGGGGCCCAGTACAGAAAGGTGATCTCAAGGATACTGCACAGACCAGTACCTATAGAGGACCCAGTAATGGACCTGGCTGCCAGCAATGTGTCTGGTAGCCTTGTGGCCTACCACAGCTGTAAGTGGCAGCCATTCTTAGCTCCACCAACAGCACATTCTTGAGCATCCTGGCTGAAGAACTAATGTCCAGGACTCAGCTGCTGCTTGGAGAAGTTGGGCTGCTGCAGTAAGTTCTTGGGCCTCCACCCAGGATTCTGCCTGTAAACCTTCTCAGAAATCTCTCCTGGACCCACTCCAGAGCTTTTCTCTGGTTTAGATCCCAGTCTGCCAACTTTCATCCCTATCATTTGAAGGACCTTGGGCCTTGTTGATCTGCCAAGGACTGCATGGTAGCCTCTAAGCCCACCCAAGACTTGGGCCCAACAACTGCAGGACCATCTTACTTCCAGTTTTGTCTACTGCAGCCTGTTTTATCCAGTTGGGCCTGGACTTCCAGTGTCTGTCTCTAGAGGGGATTCTAGATGTGGGTGGAAGCCTTTTCTGGAGACATCCCACAGTCAAGCCTGAGAAGATCTGAAATTTAGGGTTGAAGGTTAAAGGGACGGCACCTTGTCTGACTCCCGCATGCCTCAACCAGGTGCTTCTGTGTCTGCATACTCCCAAGTTCAAGCTAGAGCAAGGGTCACTGGAACATTTCCAAATGTTGGGCTGTCAACTTCAAGATACATGGTGATTTTGTAACTTGGTACTTCTATGCTGTTTTTAAACCTAAATGAGGTAAATTAGTTTTCATAGTAATCTTTTGAAAGTATATGTTCCACTTTTAGGCAAAACACTCAGATGTTTTCAATCTTTCACTAAATATTTTGGAATGTTATTAAAAAAGAGATGATCAACATCTAAAGAAAATTAGTTCCCATGAACAAAACCGCTAAAAATTTATCTACCTCATCTTAGGCAATCAAGGTTTTGGAGAATCTTGAACAGAAAATAATCATTGTGACCCTCATGAATGTAATTGATTTTAGTTGTGCTGTGAATGCTGTTAGGAATCAAGTACCTCTTGAAAGTAAGTTGTGGAACAGAGAGAAATTTCAGCAAAGCTTTAAACTATGGTGAAATGTAAACATGTGTCTAGCACTACCAGGTGTGTATTTTAATTTGACATGAATATTTAATTTTTAAAATTGTAATTTATCTGTGAATTTGACCTTTGTGTGGTTTTCATATTTGGGTGGGAAATGCAGTATAATAGATGAATATTCAATGAAAGGAAATATAGCACAATACCAGAAAGATGGTTGATTAGATTACAATTAGTACAACT